ATGATAATTGAAGTACTTATATAGACTATGATGTTGATGCATGAGAATTGAAATATGTTTAGCCATTTTGTTATATCAAGGCTTCATATATGTAGAGTAGTTTGCAAAATGATTCCGTCTCCACCATTCCGTCTTTCCAAGTTACATTTGAGCTATTTATGTATTTTCTTGCACTATGCATGGTTGCTGCATGTTGATAGCATTTCAAATGTTATCATTTTGTTAAGAGTTTCATTTTTGGTTTTGCTATGGGATTAGCAAAATGTAAGTTTGGAGGTGTGATAAGTGCCAAAATATTGCATATTCAAGCATCTTTATTTGCATTAGTTAAGTCCATTAGTTGATTATACTGTATATATTAGCTTTATTTGCATGCTTTTGTCTATTTTCAGGTTGGTTCCCCAAAGAAAGTTAAAAGTGACGCTTTGATAAGTTTTTGAAGACCAAAGTACGCCGTTGCCAGGGACCGTCATTTTGGCTCGGCCAGCGATCCATTGAACTCATGAGTTTCGCTATATCGTGCCTAAGAGGAGGACCACATCAACGAACCAAGCCAAAAGCAGTCCAAGCATAATGAAGCAAGATTGTGAAACTGCAGGCGCCAGCTATAAACTTGCGGGCGCCCACCAAAAAGGGTAGTGCCCTCGTGAAGCCACGGGCGCCAGCCAAGAACCCGTGGGCGCCTAACAAAATGGCCAACAAGTTCGTGTATGCGCGGCCGCCCGCCCTGCACCTGCGGGCACCTGTTTCTCCCAATGTTATCCCTTTGTTTGAGGGGATAGGTCTGCACTCTCTCAAGGATTTTGGACCACGAATTTAGAGTGGTTGAGAGGTCATTTTGTGTTAAATAAAAGGCTTGAGCTTGGTATAAGGGGATCTAACATTTTTGTAAGGTTCTAGAGAGAGAAATATTGAGTTCTTGAGTGTGTGGGTTGTTCTTGTCCTTTAGGTGTGAAAATGGAAGGCTTCCTCCTCTCTTTTCCTTCCTCATTTACATCCATGGGTAACTAACTCCCTTTCTAGGGAGGTGATGAAACCCTACTTTGTAAGCATGCTCTAGTTTTGCTTTTAATTTGGGGAATAGAATGTTTATATGGTAGTTTCATAATCTAGAACACCTTGCTTTTTGTAATGGATTTTAATGTCTATAAATGATCATTTTGAGTTGATTATCTTGTCTTAGATTGTTTCCTCTTTTGATCATATTGCTTACATTTTCATAGTGACAATGGAAATGAGATTGTGGAATGGTTTTAATGGCATGTTATTGGAGAACCTTGATAGTCCATGGCTTAGGTCCTTCCTTTGATGGTCTATGTTTGATTTCTAACTTCATATGCTTTTATCATTTGATTAAGGGCTTGATAATCTCTAGCTTAGTGAGCATATCTAAGGCTACACCCTAGTTTAGGTAGTTCAAGTATGTGAAACTTTGATAGGTTATTCTTGCCTTTTGATTTAATGAATTTCTTGAAGATAATATAGCAACAATGTGTTGCTACATATCATGACCACTATATATGTTGTTTCCCCATGTTAATCACCATCTAGCATGTTAATAGGGTAGGTAGTGGATTCACTTCCCTAGTCCTCTCTACCTAAGTTTTTCTCTCTTAATTTCCTTGTAATTATTGTTTTATGCATTCCTTAATCCCTATTTCGCAGTGACAAACAAAACCAACTCTTATACCCCCCTTTTGTTAAACTAAGAGTGATTTTACAATCTTGGCTACCATAAACTAGCAATCCTAGTGGTTCGACTTACCCGTCCAATAGCCCTATTTTATAATGATTTGTGTTATTGCAAAGAATTGATTATTATTAATAGTCGACGAGACCAATCAAGCTCTGGGAGCAAAATTTGTCTGGAACATCTTTTTATTGGTGGTGCTCGATCCTCTCTTCATGGTGCTCGATCCCAAGGTGTTGGGCTTGAGCTTTGGGGCTATAAGCTCGAGCTTTAGGTATTAGTGCTCGATCCTTGAGGTTTAGGAGCTTGGAAATTAATTCCTTCAAATTCCGACGCTTTGTGCTTGAGCTTAAGGGTCAAGGCTAGAGCACCCTATGGTCAGGCTCGAGTACCTTTTATTCAGTCTCGAGCCTGAAAGTTCAAGGCTTGAGCTTCAATGCTTGGGCTCGAGTTTTGGATCCTGAATTCTTCTAAACTTCACCATTTAAGCTCTCAACTTGTTTTGAATGACCAACAATGACTCGATAAACTTCTTTATCATTCTTTTCATCATAAAAGCCCAGTTTTAACCATTTCTTTGGGAAAACACCTAAAAACATGAAATAAACATAAATCGGTATAAAACAGGATAGATATACCACTTTAGGTCTTAACATATGCGTATTTAGGGGCTCGAATATGCAATATTCAACGCTCATCATTATGAGGTAGACACTTCCTAAGCAAGTCATTTAGGTGCTCTCATGCCTCATGAAACAATTCCCCTTCCCATTGAGAAATTTCCCGAATTGAAGTTCTCAATTCATTGGTCTTTGAAACCAAATAGTACTTTTTCAAGAACTCTTATTGCATCTCCGTCTAAGAAGTTATCAAAAAAGGCGTTAGATTGTTGAACCAATATTTTGCTTTATCTTTAAGGGTAAAAGGAAAGAGTTTTAACCCCAAAACCTCTTTCGGTATGTCCGTGTATTTCACAGTGGAACACACTTCAAGAAACTCATCCAAATGCTTGTAAGGTTCTTCACTTGGAAGCCTATGGTAATTGGGAAGCATTTGAATAGTTTGTGGTTTAATTTCATAATGGTGTGCTCTAAATGGAGGTAATTGAATGCATGTAGGTGCATTGTACTCATTTAACACATAATGATCTCTCAAAGCAAGAGGAGGATTCACAACCGGTGGTGCCACATGAGCACCATGATTGCCTTGAACAATAGGAGGTTGGGGTGGAACAAAAATTGGCTGAGACATTCCCAATGGAACGTGGCCTTGTTGTTGTGGAATGAAGGGTCTTGGCATGCCTAATGATACTTGAATATTGTCATGATGCACATTAGGGTGAAAAATACCTTGTTGGTCGATGTGACCAAGGTCCTCCATATGGTCCTCATTATGTTCCTCCATTGATGAAATGGAGTAACAAGAATTACCCTTTCCCCTAGGATTTTGAACAATGGATTCAAGATTCAAATTTAATGGGACAAGAGTAGGATTTAAAAACCTACGGCTATGCATGCACAATTAAAACAACAATAACTAGTAAATAGCACATAACAAGCACTTCTCCTTTACAATAAATCAATCAACAAACCTCCACATACATTGATCCCATACTCCCATGCTTTCAACAATATGCAAGAAAAATAAATTGCTTCCACACGGGCCGACGATCTATCTAAGAAAAATAAAAAATTGCCACCATGCGGGCTAACAATTTAACTAAGGAGAGAGTTAGAAAAGCTCACAAAGGGTCCTTAAGCAATTTCAAGTTATTTTTCAATTTTTCCTTTGCCTTGCTTTGCTTTGCAAATTTTTTATTTTTAGCTTTTTATGTTTTTGCTTAGCTTAGCCTGCTTCTTTTGCTTTAGAATTTCCCTTTACTTCACTCCCTTGGCTCAATGCACCTAGTCAATCAAGAACAAACACAATAAGTAACCAAAATAGAATAAAAATAAAAATAAAAACAAGATCAAAATAGTACTAATTCTTAATTGATTTCCAAAATACGACGTTACCAAATCCCCAGCAATGATGACAAAACTTGGTGTGGTCAATACCTAGTTGCACAAAAGTGGTGAAATAACGTGGCCAAGTTTGAATTTATATAATGCCACTACCACTACTAACTATTAATGTAGTTAGAGTAAGTAGAGATCGTCCCAAGGGAAATGGAGTGTATTTTTGTTTGGAAATCAATGTTGGATTAGTAGGTCGAATGATCAAAAGATGGTTTGATTGATTAATTAAATTAAGATTCAATTCAAACAATGCAAGTAAGTAACAATCTAGAAATTAGAGAAAGATATAGGAAAGAGAGGTTTTGGGGCTTAGAGTTCACCACTAAGTTTCACTTCACCAAACACTAGCAATTGTAAATTAATGGGGAAATTTAAGTTGTAACTTGTGTGTGTGTGCCACTAATTAAAAATTAAGTATGGATGGTAAATAAGTATAGATTGTCTAATCATTTTAGTGAGTAGCACAAACTATCATATGAGACCATTAACTATTCACAGTCCACATGCTCTTAGTCTTGATTAGATACAAAGTTGAGTGCAATTGATTAGTCTTGATTATATAAACTTGTAGTACGAGAAATAAATACTATATAATAAGAATTTGGAGGACAAACAATACGAGTTCTAGCCTAATTCAATATTTGTATAATAAAGGCACAGATCTTCCAATAAGAGAGTAATTTTTACGATATTGTGTATTATTCATTATATTTTAAGTTTTGAACAAATTTTTGCACGTACACACACCAAATATTTTCTATAAAGGACTTGGAGAGAATATGCTAGTGGGTTTAAATTTTAGTGGTTAAAAAAATAAAAAATAAAAAATTGGTACCGAGGTGTTACAAATTTTTATTTATTTTATTGAAAATAAAATAAAAAATAAATTAATATTGTACAAGAGAAAAGAAGATAAAGGACACGTGCAACTTCTGATTTAAAAAAAAAAAGGCACGTGCAACAACACATCGTACGTAAGGTTAAAAAAAAAAAAAAAGAGGTACAAGTACACATTATTAGGAATATAAATAGACTTAAAACGAAATCCAATTTTGGAAGCTTCTGTTACAGGTGGTTGTATCTCTCTCCTCTCTTTCTCTTCGGAAAGATGCAGAGTAACACGCTTTCATTCTCCAATAATTTTAAATTCAATGTGTGTATAATATAATGTTGTATATAACATTATTCCGACCGTTGTTTGTTTCGGTTGTTGGTGAAAGAAAAGGGAAGAGGGGGGGAGGGGGGGAGAGAGACAGAGTCAGAAAAGGGAGAGCGAAAATAAAGCCAAGGAAATGGCTGGTTCGCATCCCTTTGCCGGAATTTTTATTTTCTTGGCGTTTTCCGCCTTGGTGCTGCCCAAGGCGGTGGTGCTCTGTGAATTTCCGGCGACTCTGACTCTCTCAAGAGCTTTTCCGGCTAATCAGAGAGTCGAAGAACTGAGTCAACTCAGAGCTCGTGACATGTTAAGGCACGGTCGAATTTTGCAGTCTTCAGGTCGTATCGCGGAATTTTCCCTCCTGGGCACCTATAGTCCCTTCCTTGTTGGGTAATCCTATCAATTTCCGTTTTACATATATATGTATATATAGACACACACATATATATATATACATTGAATTATGGGTATCAGGGTATCTAATCTTCTTCTTATTCATTGTTCCATGCAATCAGGAAATGGTTGATAATTTTACCTGTTTTATTCTGTTTTATGTTATAGTATTCTAATTTTTCTTCACGTTTTGTGTCCTTTTCAAATTAACTACTCTTCTGCAAAATAAATAAATAATAATAATAATAATAATAAATTAGCTACTCTTATCATGTTCTCTTTTTGCCTAATGTTATAGGTCTTCACTTTTTTTTTTTTTTTTTTTTTTTTTTTTTTTTAAGGTCCGTTTGCTTTCTTTTTCTTTCCTTTTATTATTATTTTTTAATAATTTTTTTCCCCAATTATTCATGTAGCAAAATTATAAGGGGCACATTCTATGGAATACAAGCAAAAGACGCCAAAAAAAAAAAAAAAAAAAAAAAAAAAAAAAAGAAAACGAAGAAGAAAAGGCAAAACATAATCCATATAAAACAGAGAAAACAAAAGCCACCTAGATCGCATTTCAAAAAAAAAAAAAAAAAAAAAAAAAAAAAATCCACCTGTTATTGGAGGAGAAAATGAAACACTAGAAAAAGGAGAAAATGAATAGGATAATTGTTATTGGAGGAGATGTATCAAATCCGGTCGACTATGATTATGATTTCTTATATTTAATGAACAATCTAAAGATTCCCTTGATATTTGGAATCATAATCTCTGAATTGTTGCTCAATTCAATTGAATGTAAACTTGTATATATACACTTTGAAAGTAATCTGGATATGAGGCTAAAACTCACACACTTGTTTATTCTTACCGGATTCAAACTTTCACTTTTTACTTTAAGAGGTAAAGGAGATACTTGTTTTACCCCTCTTTGTTACTTCAAGAGTCTATATGTAATGCTAGATATAGTGTTTTGTTAATTTATTTATTTTTTATTTTTTTAAGATGAATTAATGAGCTTCTATGAATGGTGTTTTGCTCCTTTTTAGATTATGTTATATTTATTTATTTTTAGATAGGGTATCTATCCTCTTGATGTTCAATACATATTGCTCTTTGATCATATTTTTCAAATTAGAACTAATGGTTTTGCTTTAGGCTTTATTACACAAAAGTTCAATTGGGATCTCCTCCAAAAGAATTCCATGTTCAGATTGACACTGGAAGTGATGCCTTGTGGGTCAACTGCAATGCCTGCAACAGTTGCCCCATATCTAGTGGACTCAAAGTAAAACAACTTCTCCTTAGCTATTATAGTCCTGTGCTTTCTTTCAATATTGTCAGGCTCGTAGAATGGAAGTGTTACAATTTTCATTTCTTGTATCTTTTTTTTTTTTTTTTGGTCAGATTCCAATCAATTCCTTCAACCCTTCAAGCTCATCTACAGCATCAGTAATCTCCTGTTTTGACAAAAGATGTGCTCTTGGAGCTCAATCCTCAGACGCTGGCTGTTCTAAGAAAAAGGATCGGTGCAATTACTCATTCCAGTATGGAGATGGCAGTGGGACATTGGGTTATTATGTATCAGATGAGCTGCATTTCAACACAGTTGCTGGGAATTCTTCGACTTCAAATTCTTCGACTTCCATTCTCTTTGGGTGAACTATCATGAATCTGTTAAGTTAAAATGGTGTTTGGCGCCTTTTATTTTTTTTAACCTGTCATTGCTTGTCTGTTGGATTATCAAGCAGCTGTAGCACAACGCGGACTGGGGACCTGATTAAGTCGGATAGAGCAGTTGATGGGATCTTTGGGTTCGGGCAGCGGGGTTTATCTGTCATTTCACAACTTTACTCCAAGGGAAATACCCCATATGTGTTCTCCCATTGCTTGAAGGGAGATAATGATGGTGGAGGTACATTGGTTTTCGGTGAGATCGTGGATCCAAATATAGTTTATAGTCCACTTGTCCCATCACAGTACGTTCTCTATCTGCTAGAAAGAAACTGTTGTGGCCTAATATTTGTTTTATCTTTGCTTCAGATTTCATTTTACACCATAATTATGGGAATTTGTTCAGCACAGTACTGTTATTTACTTTTTGATTTGGACATATCAGTCTAGCTGTTAATAGTCTCTTTCCTGCCAAGTACATTTTCCTGGTGGCTTCATCTTGCAAATATTTCATATTACACTAAACACATCTTTATTCAATCTATTTCTACATTGTTATGAATTGAGATACTTGAAATGGTGTTAGCTCAGAACCAGTAAAGTTTATGTATTTTGTTTTTGTTAAACATTAGATCACTAGTTGATATAATATGAATTTTATGCATAATTATTTGATCTTTATTCATTTATATATGCATAATCAGTTGGTTTTGAAAGGTGAAAATCATTGGGTATCTCTAACTTCATGTAACTTTCCCAATGAAAATTAACTTAGAGATGGATATGTCTTGAAGGCTTGATAATAAGCATTAATTACGGTAATTCCTGCTGAACTAGATAACTTATCTGCTCAGACCCATCTTAAACTTATTAGATCATTTGAGTTAATAATGCTTTAAGTCATCTTTTATTGTGTGGAAAATGTTGACAGTTCCATAAGTGTAATAACTGAAAGTGAGAGAATGAGTTACCAGATCATGGTGTAATAACAAATATAATCCAAATACGAAGTCTGAACAGATTAGGATTTTGTCTTTGATAACTGACATACAATTTTCAGGGAAAAAAATAAAACAAAACTAGTTGGAAAACATAGGTAATATCCCACAATTGGAATTCCCTTGTGAAAATGTCAACTCATAAGACATTAAACTAAGTTTTGGCTTTAAAGTCTGGTCTGTGGACCATAAACTATCATGTTCCCTCAGCAGGTAATTAGTTTCTTCCACTATACTTGTTTACTCGCTCCATAAGCTAGCTGCCTCTGATTTTCTTGATGTAAGGATTAAACAAGCAGGGATATATGGATTTGTAGGGACTTTAAAGGCGTGAGTTACAGTTGGCATGCCTTTACTTGGGCCAGAATAGCTGCCTTGTTCCTAGACTTGAGGCCTCGTTATAGTATTCACTTGGTAGATCGCCATGTTACCTTTGTGTAAATCACTAGGTGGTTATGTTATTATGTTAGTCCATTTGATGGTTGCTTTGGTGTGTAGACTATTTTCTGATCTTAAATAAACATTTCCCTAGGCATATATTTTGGTAGGATTGTATAACTTATCATGCTTACTTGATAAGGACTCAAATCTGTATATTTTGATTGAAAAAATAATTAAAAACTTTGATGGATCATATATTGATTGATCAAGCAAATCCATAAGTCAGAATATGGTTTGAAAATTATAATTTTACTTGTACTTAAAATATTATATATAAGCTGGAAAACAAAGGAAAAATTGGAAATATTTATGCTGATGTTGGATGAACTAGTGTTGAACTGTCGAACTAATGATGCCTTTTGTAGTTAAACCCTTACTGTTTTTTATTTCTTGAACCTTGTGGTGAATTCACTAATTTCAAAATATTGCTTAAAAAAATTGCTGATTTTATCAATAGTTAGTATAAAAACTTTATTTGCTTCATTACAAGTCTTGATGTGCTCATGCAGTTATGCATTACGATCTCCCATCCACCCCTCCCACCCCCCAATCATCTCCCATCCACACATCCTTTTCCAACTGTTAGAATGTAATTATGTATATTTAGGGGTATTCTATAATTCTCTATAATATGTGAGGCCAAAGTGTAAATAGAGGATTCTTCCTCTTATATAATCACCTTATGTATTAGGGCTTGAGACAAAAAATAAGAAAATGAATTTGTAGCCTACATCGTTCTGTCTCTTCCTCTTCAGTTTCTACATGGTATCAGAGCTTTTCTCCTGTTGTTAAGATCTCTTCTATCTGAGTCCTCATCTCCATTGCTGCCAATTGTAACTAGCCGTTGTTTCAATTAGATGTGAAAAATGCCTTCTTATATGGTGACTTAACTGAAGAAGTTTATATAGAGCAACCACCTAGGTTTGTTGCTCAGGGGGAGTATTGCTATACCGTTTGTCGCCTTAGGAAGGCCTTGAATGGATTGAAACAATCTCCAAGAGCTTGGTTTGGAAAATTCTCTAAGGCAGCATTAGCATTTGGTCTTAACAGATGCCAGACAGATCACTCAGTATTTCACCAGCACACCAAAGCTGGTTTCATTCTTCTTGTGGTGTATGTGGATGATATTGTGATTACAGGCAATGACTCTGAAGGCATTGCTAAGTTGAAATTGTTTCTGCAAAATCGGTTTCACACTAAGGGCTTGGGTAAACTTAGATATTTATTGGGTATTGAAGTTGCTAGATCCAAGAAAGGTATAAGTTTGTCTCAAAGGAAATATGTGCCGGACTTATTAGAATAAACAGGTATGCTAGGTGGTCATCCCGCTGATGCTCCCATGGATCCAAATATAAAACTCTTGTCTGATAAGGGTGATATATTTGATGAGCCTGGTAGATATCAATGTTTAGTTGGGAAATTAATTTATTTCGCTATTACCCGACCTGACATTTCATATGCAGTTAGTGTCGTAAGTCAGTTCATGGAAGCTCCTAGAGTACCACATTGGAATGTTGTCCTACGAATTATTTGATAGCTCAAGCAAGCTCCAAGGTTTGGGTTAATATATAAATCGAATGGTCATCTCAGTGTCGAAGGTTTTACAGATGCTAACTAGGCTGGATCCTCCTCAGATAGGAGGTCTACTACAGGTTTTTGCACATTTGTAAGAGGAATCCTGTTACATGGAGAAGTAAGAAACAAACAGTGGTAGCTCGGTCTAATGTCGACGCAGAATATAGGGTAATGGCTCATACCACTAGTGAGTTGACAGGAATACAACATTTTTTGGAGGAACTTGGGTTGACAGTCAAATCCCCTATTCCACTGTTCTGTGATAATCAAGCAGCCATTCACATTGCATCTAATCTTGTGTTCCATGAGAGGACCAAGCATATTGAAGTTGATTGTCACTTCATTCGAGAGAAGATACTGACTGGGAATATCAGTACTCCATTTGTGAAATCTGAAGACCAACTAGCTGATATGTTTAATAAAGCTCTAGGTCATCACAGGTTGAAGATTATTTGTTCCAAGCTAGGATTATATGATATCTATTCTCGAGCTTAAGGGGTAGTGTTAGAATGTAATTATGTATATTCAGGGGTATTCTGTAATTCTCTATAATATGTGAGGCCAGTGTGTAAATAGAGGATTCTTCCTCTTATATAAGCACCTTATGTATTAGGGCTTTAGACAGAAAATAAGAAAATGAATTTGTAGCCTCCATCGTTCTCTCTCTTCCTCTTCAGTTTCTACACCAACCAATAATAAAAATAACCAAAATTTCCCTCACTACTACAAAGCTTTGCCATGTCTTGTTATAAATTGGTGATATATAGTTGATCTTTCCATTTAGGCTGTATTCGGCTGCATAGAATTGAAGCCTTGGAATTAGAATTGGTGGAAATGGAGAAAAGCAACTCAGAAAATTGAACCAAAATTTTCTCAAATTCCAAGGCTACAATTCCATGCGGCTGAACACCCCCTTAGAGTACATATCATGACATTACAATGTGTTTTAATGAGCTACAAGCTTGCGAGTTAGTGACAACTATCCTGGATTTAATAATTTGTGTTCTTTTGCTGAAAGTCCCGAGTTTCCCAATTCCACTAGGAAAACTATAGAATATGCAGATCGACTCTTGTTAAAGTAGGTGTGGGATGGGGACAGAAGAAGTTAAGAAACATACACAACTCAGAAGTTGAAGAGGATTTAGATGGTTGGTCTCCAATGAAAGAGACATCAACTTGTGGTGGAAATGGAGGTAACTACTTGGTATGGTTTAAAACCATAAAATGTGATGATTGAAGTGGCCTATTCATTTTTTGGGTATCTGGGATAGCTATTATTGGAATGTCTAATAGATTATAGTTTACAATATGGCTTATGCATTGCAGCAGAGGGGAGTGGATCCAATCTTTTCTATGATTCTACGAACTGGTGTGAGTTGATTTCATTCTTAGAATAGTGCCCTTACCAAGTTCATCCTCAAATGGCAGTCAGACTATTAATAAGCTATCAGTAAGTTTAAACATGACAAGAACACTGCCTCGATGTAGGACAAGTGCGAAGAACGCTCGCCTATGAGATATTCTATACACGTGCTTCAGTGTTAATGAACCTATTAATCCAAATTTATTGACGATCAAGCATACCTCACTAAGAAATAGAACCAAGATCTAGGTTCAAGTTTGGCTCATTGATTGATGAGCATGAATAAAGAAGCATCTTCGGGCTGAAATTGATCTTCTCATGAGCAACTCCATTTATTCAATCGTCCATCAGTAATGTTAATCTAACTTCCTTGTTAATTAGATATAAGCAGAATTTAATTCAGTTTAAGAAACTTGAAACTATCAGAGCAGCTTATTTGATGATAACAAAAATTCACTCTAATTTATGGAAAATAGTAATTGAGACACCTTGGTCTTTAGTTTCATAATTTATGTGACTGCTTTCAGCAGTCATTCACAAATTTACACCAACAGAACTTCTAAAATTGCCTCCAATCTATATTCTATTTCAGATCCGGAGAAAAAAGAAATAAGGAGATGAAAAAGAAATATAGAACAAGGCAAATAAATTATTAACGACAACAAAAACCATTAGCACCAGCTTTAAGGATCGCGATATGGTTGCAAATGTGACTGCTGATATTTTCCTTTGTATTTTAAGTAAATTAGTTCTAACCATATCAGCAGTCACATTTGCAACCATATTGCGATCCTTAAAGCTGGTGCTAATGGTTTTTGTTGTCGTTAATAATTTATTTGCCTTGTTCTATATTTCTTTTTCATCTCCTTATTTCTTTTTTCTCCGGATCTGAAATAGAATATAGATTGGAGGCAATTTTAGAAGTTCTGTTGGTGTAAATTTGTGAATGACTGCTGAAAGCAGTCGCATAAATTATGAAACTAAAGACCAAGGTGTCTCAATTACTATTTTCCCTAAATTAGAGTGAATTTTTGTTATCATCAAATAAGCTTCTCTGATAGTTTCAAGTTTCTTAAATTGAATTAAATTCTACTTATATCTAATTAACAAGGAAGTTAGATTAACATTACTGATGGACGATTGAATAAATGGAGCTGCTCATGAGAAGATCAATTTCAGCTCGAAGATGCTTCTTTATTCATGTTCATCAATCAATGAGCCAAACTTGAACCTCGATCATGGTTCTATTTCTTAGTGAGGTATGCTTGATCATCAATAAATTTGGATTGATCGGTTCACTAACACAGAAGCACGTGTATAGTAAGAATTTTAGGCTGATAAATGTAGAAGATGCTATTGAACACAACAATCTCATCTGATTAGTTTTCGTGTTTAACTTCATATACTAGCCTAAAAAGCAAATTTAGACTTACATTCAAGTTTGATTGCTTTGAAATTAAATCTTGAGAAATACGAGGATGGGTTTGATAGTTGAATTAGGCTTCTGGAAATTTCATTCTGATGTTTAACCCACTTTTGCCAAAGAAACAAAAATTTTAAGAAAGAATTGAGACTGTGAAATACTTGTAACTTTAAGGCTTCAGTCACACAGGCGTTTATGTGTCTATCAATGTTTTTGCCATGGGTTTATGAATATTTTAGCATTCCGGCACTTACTGTTAAACAGCTCTTAGCTTCACTAAAATGTCAGGTATTGGAAATTTGTTCCCTTTTTCCTGTTAATTACAAAAGCTCAAATATTTTGAAACATATGGACATTGATCCTGCATTAAATTTGATGCTCAACTTCTATGTCCAAACTTTCAGGCCACATTATAATTTGAATCTGAAGAGCGTTGCTGTCAATGGGAAGATATTGCCCGTTAATCCAGCAGCATTTGAGACATCAAACAACCGGGGAACCATAGTCGATTCTGGGACAACTTTGGTATACCTTGCAGAAGAAGCTTATGATCCTCTACTCAATTCTGTAAGCTACAGCGGAACAACTTCTCAGACGTATTTCATATAAAAAAAAAAACTTATCATATTCTTATTAATCTATGTCTGGAAATTGTTATGATGCTCGTCCAGCAATGTTTGCAATTATCAACTTCATAGTGTTTAAACGTCGTTTATAATTTTATATAATCAAAGTACCATGAAACTGTTGATGCAATTTTTATGGTTGTGATATGCTTGTCTTTGCAGATTACAGGGATTGTCTCTCGATCAGCACACCTTTTTGTTGTCAAGGGAACTCAGTGTTTTCAAATCACCTCCAGGTATTTTTACAAAGACTTATATTAGTTTGCATCTAATTGACATCTTGATCTTTTGTAATGATTTCTTTTATAATTGCTTTAACATCTGAAGCATATGGTTTTTACCATGTTCAGTGTCTCAGAGACATTTCCTACAGTTAGTTTAAACTTCGCTGGTGGTGCATCCATGAGCTTGAAACCTCAGGACTACCTTATACAGCATAACTCCAATGTGAGTCCATTGTTAGTTTAATACCTGAGATATCTACTTTTAACTTGTAAAGAGGTTATTTTCAATAAGTTGTTCTTATCTCTTTATGTAGCTGGGCACTGTTGTAGATGATTTAGTCCCTCCCTGTGGGACAAGCTCTCATAATTTTTTTCACAACTTCACTTGTTTTAGTAGTATTGTATTACAAATATTATCCCTTTGTATTCCATTTATTTCCAGAAGCAGTGTGGTGGAGAACCTTTTTGCAACTATCCTCTCTTTCTAAATCTCATTAATGACACAAGTGCATGAATTTTTAGTTGCAGAATGCAGTTGCTATGTCTCCTTACCTGTTGATCCTTTTGGCGCCTTAAGAAAGTATTTGTCTTAGTAGATATGATCTTTGAAGCTATTGTATTCTTGACCAAGATTAGCCATACTATCTGCGAATCTTGATACACTTGCTCAATTTTATTGCTTCATAATAATGAAGAAAGCTTTTAATGATAGTGAGGTAGTGTCCAAATTCTCGAGGATACCTCATTTTTGTGGGGAATAGAGTTGCAGTACTGTAATCTGGTGATCTCCTTAATACAAATATTTTAAGTGTTGTTTGGTTAGCTATAATCGTAGCCATCTTTTGCAGCTCTTCTTTTAGCATAGTGAAACTATATATGTAGTAAATTAGCTGGTCCAAATACATGTCTTCCTTGAATGTTCCTTTGTATGCATTCCAATGCTCCTCTTTTGTCATCTCTTTGTTGGAGTTACTATGCAATAATCAGCTGCGACTTTGTTGCAAAACCGATATATATCCAAACAATCTACAGTCCTATCAGTGATCTAACATGGATAGGTTTTATCTTCAGTTTTATAGTTTTCTATAGTCTACAGAATTCTTAACTATAATGGCCACATTTTTTTTTTTACAGGGTAGTTCTAGTGTGTGGTGCTTTGGCTTTCAGAAAAGTCAGCCTCAAGGACTAACAATTTTAGGAGGTATGAGTATGGAACTGAATGGCTTTTCTCAGTAAAGTACTTGATAGACTAGGCTATTGTTAAAAATCAGTGCTCTCTCTCTCTCTCTCTCTCTCTCTCTCTCTCTCTCTCACACAAACACACACACAGATACACATGTATGCATACATCTGCAACATGGTTTTTTTTTTTCAGTCACATTAATGGTAGTCTATGAATTTAAACTTTGTGATCAAGGTGCAACTCAAAATTTCATATTTACTTCTGCCCATGTTTCTGTGGCATTTTTTGCATGTTTAGAACCGTCCTCACTACCATATTTCTTTTGTGCTTGTGATGGGCTGAGTCAGTTTGCTCTCCCTCTTTGTAACTATTGCTCTTTTGTTTTTCATTTTTTCTATTTCTTTTCAGTCAGTTGCTTACAGTTTCCCTTTAAATTATTACTTAATCCATTAATTTGCTATTCTTCCAACCCTCATTTCGTTATGTGCATCCATGGGGATCTTTTTAAGAATTTTTCGTGAAATTAACAAAATACTATCTTATTATAGAATCCCCAGTTTCAGAAAGTAAGACTGGAAGACGATGCATCAGCTCCTCCTTCTGACATGAGGGAGGCATGTAAAAATATTTTTTTCCTCTTAACTCAGACCTGTTTATGTTATTATAACCTCAAATTCAGATTTAGGAGCCTTATTCAACCTCGAGTATACATTGTGTTGCTAGACTAATGACTTCAATAGGTAGACATGCAAGTAGAAACCTACTATGTCCAAGCATTGCAGTGTGTCTTCAAGTGCTTGATAAGCTCCAAAACCATATTAACTCTAGTGTCCAAACCCAAATTCCATTTCTTGCAATTATTCTCTTATAGCCTGTATTGAGAGCTTCATAAGAGGAAATTTTTTTTTACAGACCTTGTTCTCAAAGACAAGATCATAGTCTATGATCTGGCACGCCAAAGGATCGGATGGGCTAACTACAATTGTAAGTTTCCGTGTCCCCACTCGAAGGTGAACATTAATTTGGACACCTCATCAAAGTGAGAGGTCTTAACTTTTGTTTAATTTGCTAGATGTTCATCAGTGTGAAGTAAATTTATAAAAGAATCAATATTACAGAATGCTAGATCTTATGTAGACCTTCAAACAGATAAACTAAATCAGAGCAAAAGAAAATCAATAACTGATGGAACAATTTCATTCTTTATAGTATCGCAATTAGTTAGAATATTGTGCTGATAATTGTATCTAACCTAATATAATTCAACTAATGTCATTAGGTTCATCACCAGTGAATGTATCAGCATCCAGGAGTGCCAGTAAAAGCGAACTTGTCAATGCAAATCAGAATAGTGCTGGTAGCAGTTCATCGCAAAGCACACTCTACACGCTGATACCAAGCATCATAATGGCTTTCCTCTTCCATTTCCCAGTGTTTTGCAGTTCCTCATTTTTGTAACATCTAGTTCAAAAGGTTTATGCTACCATTCTTTATGCCACTGTATAGTGCCTGTAATGATGAATGACACAGAAAATTAGAATGTGTAATGTTTATTTTCAATTGCATGCACACACCTCTATCATGCACTGTACACAGCTGATTATAGTGAAATAAATGGACAATATTTATTATAGGGTAAGAATTGATTCTTCAACACACCCTAATATTTTGTAACATTTACATTATGTTTGGATTGATGGAATTAAGAAGAAGAATAAAAATGAAAATTGAGTGATAGCTTAATGTCACGCCCCATCTTTGGAGGTTACGCCACGCAGGAGACACACGTGCGCTGAGTAGATGATGCATGGCGTCTACATGGCATGGGAAGATTTTAGAGTTCTCCAAAGTTGTGTGGAGTAGTTTGGAGAGCTCTAGAATGATGTAGATATGTGTACAATTATGTACATTATAGTGGAAGTGTTTAGAAGATGGGAGAAAGTTCTAAAGGAACGATCTCCACTGTAGATTGGAGTGCATCTTAGCGTCCATTAGGGATGGGGGTGCCTATAAATAGGGAGTGTGATACCCCTCGGATCTGAGACACGGGTTGATCAAGTCCGACCCGAGTCCGAGGGATATCAAACAATTAAAGTATTTTAAATCGAACACGGAATACAAAATTGATTTAAGAAATAAAAATAATAGAAGCTGAAAGGAACTAGAAGTAAATATCTTCCAAATATAATTATAAAAATCCAAGCTTCAAAACCTCTGTAAGTTTACAACTCGGGAATCCATCTATTGGACCCCTTATAAAATTCTCAAATAGGAGTTTAAATCATAGAAATAAATTCTACAGCTAACATAGAGAAGATTCCTACATAGTCGGAGGAATGAATATCTGTATCTGCTCTGCACGTCCAAGCTTTAACCCTGGAACTGACGAACACCTGAAAAATAAAGGAGTGGGTCAGGCCCACATGCAAGTCCTGATCTACTACAATCCAAACAGTAATCCGATACGCAGATACATCCTAGGAAGACTCAACCATATCTAGAGTAGTCCATATATGTATATAGTGCACACTAATAGGACGCTCGCTAGTCCAATAGGTCTGTCTCAGCCTGAATAGAAGGCAACATGCAAATACGCACCCTAAGGTGGGCATGAGTACCTAGACCTACCAGGGAACAATACCTATGTCCAGTTATCCATCCCAAGCGATATACGCGCCCTAACTATGGTCCTAAGACTCAAGCTCATACCATGGCACATAAAATAAATATATAAAGTCCGTACTCCTAATACAAAATATCATCTATCTGTATAGTGGTCTGATATATGTAGCACAAATTCATCCTGAAACCATAGTAGGTCATTCACTTTATTTGATTGACATGACACAAGTAGGTGATGGACTTCACCTTTATGATTAATCCATACCTTAATCCAATTTGGGTAAGACTTAGTGTTTTGAGCTAATCCATTCCCACTATGACACTGTCCCATACCGGTTCATATACATCCATTTAAGTAGGACTTAACCTTTCTATGGTTAATCTAACTCCTTCCAAATAAGGTAGGACTTAGTGTTTGTACTAATCCATACCTAGTATGCCATCGTCCCATACCGGTGCATACAATCCTCCAGTTCCATAGTTAATAACACAACATAAACATGTATCAACTAATTTCCAAAAGAAACATAAATATAGCTTAACATATTTAAAACCAATTTATGCATCCAATATACCATTTAAATATCATATTACAGTGCTTTATATATATATGAAAAGACTGTACATGTAGTTCCCCCAGTTAATATAGTTGACGGAACAGTAATAAATACCAATCCACCATACTTCAAGATTTGCATATAAACAGTTTAACATGTGTACAACACATTAATCATCCTACATAAGGTTTAGAAATCCCTTTCCAGTCCCATTTTATCAAGTAAGACTGAAACCTACCACTCCTCCTGCACAACCATACCTGATGCAATAGTTGATAAATTTAAAACATCCATTAATTCCATTAAAGCATACTTAATCTTCTAGATAGATAAACATATGCTTATAACATAGTTGAACATGCTTGACAAATTTAAACATGCAAAAGAACCCAAAACTTTGCTCAAAGCAGTAAACAGTTTACAAAGATTTCAAAGACAACTTCACATATGCAGTTTCTTCGTTTAACCTTAGGTTGCTTCAAGGTTCAACACAATACCATTAATAATACCTCCAACCATTTTTACATCTCTGGAACTATTATACAACCCAATTTTACCCACTAAAACAACCCAGTCATCTTCCCATAGGTCCAGAAACAACCCAAAATCACGCAGAAGCAAGAAAAGAAGCTGGAGCCGCCTCCAGAATATTGGAGCCGCCTCCCTTCTTGGTGGAGCCGGCTCCTCCCTTATTGGAGCCAGCTCTACCCTTGTGGAGCCGGCTCTAATCCCTTGTGGAGCCGGCTCTCACACCCCCTAGAGCCGGCTCCCTCTTTTGGTGAGCCAGCTCTCCTCCTTTGAGAGCCGTAATTCCTTCTCTGGTTGTCTTCCTCGCCTCCGGCTAAGTTCAAAACCTATTTAGTATTTTAAAACCTTGTTCCAGTGTTTATACACTATCCTAGATTATATGAGAAACCCCCCAACATGCATCAATAATCCCAATTAACCAAGCTTGAACCCAAGACACAGCATGCATCAGTTCACAGTTCTTTAAAAATTTGCACAGTTTGATTCACGAGATTTATTTCCTTTTGAACATGCATACAAGATAAATTTAATCATTAATCTATTTTTAATCTTGGTTTAATCCTTAGAGTCTTTCTAAGCCTGTACAGAACACAGATTAAAGAGATAGAGTGGAAACAGAACTTGCCTTCAGTTTCAGACTGTGGAACTGCAGGCCTCTGTCAACTCCGGCAACGATGGTTGTCTTAACTCCCTCTGCTGCTCCTAATTCAAACCCCAACCTTCTCCTTGAATTCTTCCTTCAATCCCCAAAGGTTCTCTCTGAAACTCTCTACAACTCTCTGTTTTTCCCTCTTTGAAAACCTGATACGTGAATGCAGGTTGTGTGATGTTTGTTTGCTAAACCCTAAACCCACATGAAGAAATATATTTATAGGCTTAATTCTCCAACCCTAATCCGTATATTGCTAGAGCCCTAATGCAAACCCTTAGTCGGCCCATGCAATTGTCCAAGTTACAATACACGGCGACTTAATACAACCTAGGTCGGCTACAGTAACTCCAACCCTAACTGACATATACGTAAAACAACTTAATTATATAATTTAACATTTAAATAACTTCCACAGAAATATAATCCTAATCTAAAATAAATTAACATTTAACTTAACCCAATTCAAAATAATCCAATAACAAAAACAATAATATTAATAAAAGAAAACAATTAATTCAAATAAAAGGACAAACAAGCAGATAGTCAATTTTCAAGCAAATAATCCAATAAAATGACACATAATAAAATAAAATGCAATTAAATACAATAATTAAATTCCAGAATTGTCCTTTTAAAATTAGGGGTATTACATTCTTCTCCCCTAACAAAAGGAATTCCGTCCTCGGAATTTGCTCTTACCTTCTTCCAGTAATCCAGGAAACTGCGAGCGAATGACATCCTCCCGTTCCCAAGTGGATTCAGCCTCATTGTGATGACTCCACTGCACACGAACTAAAGGAATAACCTTATTACGAAGGATCTGATCCCGACGGTCGACAATACGACACGGTGGCTCCACATAAGTTGCATCCGGCTGCAACTCAATCTCCCCTATATCGATATGCTGGTACCGATCCTCATCTCGTAGAAATTTCCGCAACATGGAAACATGAAACACGTTGTGCATACAATCCAAATTATCCGGAGGTGCCAACCTATAAGCAACCGCTCCAACGCGATCCGTGATCATGAATGGACCAACAAATCGTGGTGACAACTTCCCTTTCTTCCCAAAGCGCATAACACCTTTCATAGGTGACACTTTGAGTAGAACCTGATCTCCAACCCCAAATTCCAAAGCACGTGTGCAATGATCTGCACAACTCGTCTGCCTACCCTGGGCGTACGCAAACGATCCCTAAGAAAAACTATCCTCTCAGAAGTATCCTTGATGAACTCAAGACCCAAGAATCTGCTCTCGCCAAATTCTACTCCGGTATCGGCAGTGGCTGTAGAGTTCCTAGCGACCTCTGATGATCAATCTTGACCATCTGACAAGTACTATACTGAAAAATGAAAAGAGCAATGTCTCTCTCTATACCTGCCCACCAAAACTGCCGCTATTCCCTTTTAGACCATCGTACTATCCTGGGGATTCAACATTCGGAAACAAAATTACCCTATCGACTTACACTAGTTCATTTATAAACTCCTTGGTAATCGTCCTGTCTTAACACATCATTCACGTAAACAAATATTTGTTTGTTTGTCCAAAACCAATCACTCCACTGTGATAATCCTCCATTATCGTACTATACACATACCAATATAGTTTAACAAACCCATATGTATATTCATATCCAAAATACTATCGTAAAACACAATGAAGATAGCCAAAACCACTAGTTTACGTTATTAAAACTCCTTCAAATCCATAAACCTCCAAAAGAATAATTGTCTTAAATTCTTTAAAACCAAAACTAGTGTAAACAGTACTATTCTTTAAGTAATACTTATACTCCTACTAGTAGATAAAATCATAGTACTCTTAAAAGAGCATTTATCCTTGAACTCCGGTGCTCTCCTTCGTGGATGCTCCGGTGTCTTCTCCATCTGGATCTTCTTTGGGGTCTTCCTCTCCGCTTGGCTCAGCTTTGAGCACCACCGAAGTTGTGTTAGGTCCATAGTATGGTGGCCAATCTCGCACACCAGAAACCTTCCTTGATGTGTACTCCGAAGCAACACCCATTGGAATCAATTCCTTATTTTCCAATTCTTCCTTCTTGATCGACCTTCTCAGGGGAATTGCCGGAGTAACC